TAATAAAAAATATGACACAAAAATATAACGTAACTCGATACAGCATACCCATAGTAGTATACTGTATTTATATCTATGAACCAAAAATCTACATCGATGTATTATTCACTGAACTGGTCATCTGGTAACTAATTACATAATACTTAATCCTATTTACAAGAATAAAATACTGTAACTCATATATATTTAGATATAATTTGATCTTTATTTTTTATATCACATATCTAACATACCTATTTATGGTATATTAAAACTCTTCAAATATAATCTTATTTCATATAGGATTGTCACATTGATTATCCAACAAACTTTCATTCATAAAATTTTGAACTTTTTAAATTTTGGGTCAATTTTTAACACTTTTGAAATTTTGTAATTCGGAAATTTTTGCCTCGGTGACTTATAATCTTCCAAATTAATGATGACGTGTGTAAAACAGTTTACTTGGACAAAATGTATTTAAATCACCATGATGCAATAACTAAGTCATCAAGGGTAGAGACATGATCAAAGAAAAACAGTAACAAAAAGGGAGGATAGCTTATACCATTGATAGGGAATGGAATTTCATACCTTTTTTTTTTGGCTGATAGGAAAAAAGGGTGGGGTAAAGCAAAGTGTCCACAGAGCACTCCAATAAACTTTCACTAGTAGTAGAATTACGAGGTTTTGACCGTGCTCATTACTTTTTCCGAAACAAACTTAGCTAAGTTAACATAGATATCAACTAGCGAACTCTAATATGATTTCAAAGTTCAAATCTCTAACTTTAGGGTAAAAAGTTCTACCAGTACCACCACTAGACTAGCTCACTTGGTGGTATGTAATTTAATACTTAACTTCTTCTTTTTTTAGTTCAACGGTCAAAAATGTTCGGACCAATTTATGTGCACCTCGATTAATCACATTTCCGATCTAATCAAAAGCAAATCATCCACATTAGGATTAAGGTATTCATGAAGGATATATAAATCCCTCACTTAACATTAAAGAGTTATCAAATTTTAAATTCGAGACATTTAAATTTACGATCCATCTTTATTTGCACTTAAACTACTTTGGGGTAAAAAAATTATAACAGTCCACTAGTAAAAGGAAAATGAGAGATGGTGCATGTGTGAACTCATGTGTGTAAAAGTCATATATGGTTGGTTGAAGTTGGAGTTGATTTTGTTAAAGATTCGAAGCAGTTCGTGGAAATATCTCCATTGTTTTCCAATCCCGGTGTTTAGTATCATTAATTACAAGACACGGAAATTTCGTAACACCATGGTTGATAATGACGACCACGACTTATTTAATTTGTTTTCGATTAATTTTTTTTTATTTTCTTTGAATGATGGATCGTATAATCGTGAGGATTATCTAATTATTAAAAAAATAAATAATTGAAAGAAAACAAATCTTTTGAAATTAACAATAAAACAATCTTATTAATGCGCCAAGGTCCGCCCTCGTGATTCATAACACATGAAATTTTGTAAAGAAAGGCAAAGTACACTTCCACCACCAGAAAATCTGAAAAAGTTCATACGGGTAGAACATACTGGTCGAACATCTCGTGTGGCTGCGCCTGGCTACCGGTGCTTTCACAGGTTTGCTAGGAGCTCCAAAACAAATGCATTGATTCATCAACCTCTTGTTGACCGACCCATGTCTGCGAATTGAGCTTGGTGTTCCATCATCACTTATTTGAGTAGAGCAAGATGGTCCTGCAATAACATTGGAGTTCTACCATCATTTTTTTGGCTAATACAGTTGTGCGACAAAGCGATCGATGTGCCCCTCTATATGCACTCTGTTGCACCACTCTCTGGCGGTGCACTTGCAGAAATATAGTTTCTTCCTTTAATTTTACTTACTGAAGATGCTTGATTATGAAACTTATGAACCATTTTGTTATGAATGCATGTAGTTAAAGATCTTGTAGCATCTTTCGACACCATCAATGTGACACTCCAAAATCCTTGTGTATGTAATTACTCGATTGATAATCTATCAACCCACAGAATATCCGTAGATACCATGTAATTCGATACTACATCGTTATGTCCCATTTACCGAGATCCATAACTTAACAAAATTTGGGCAGAGTCTCCTTTGTACGAGAAACTCTATCCAAAACGCAATCTGTACAATATTGACCACACCAGGTCTATCCATCCATTCACAATTGTATAGTATCGAATACTACCATAATCATCATCATTACGTACATTCATTCATAAAAGAATAAATGTCTCAAATAAGTCCCTTATAGATGCCTTTTAAATATAAACAAGTTTTTGTTATAAAAATTACACAATGTCAAAAGTAATTATAAACAAATGACTACAATGTCAAAAGAAGAGCCACAGACCAGCTCTGTCGTCAAAGAAGGGCCCATGGCCTCGTCTCCGATGGACGCTTATGCAATACCTGAAAATTATTCTCATAAAAAGTGAGTTAACGCTCAATAGGATAACTCTTATAGAGAATACCTCTTAACCTAAATGCATATGAAATGTCACATATAACAATCATTTCATGCAATCATTCAAATTTGTCTATTATGAACAAATGTCATAAATCATGTCATGCCATGAAATGAGACTCACGAAAATAATACCAATATCGAGCCCTATCTTGAGCTCCTACAACACATGTAATGTCATGCGTATGTATCTGGGCATTTCAAGCCCCGTCATTAGTGTTATGTACACTCAATGACTAATTAATTTATTTTCTTATGTCTTTGCGGGGAGATGATTTATGGTATTACACCAATTTGACCCCAACCATCAACGGATTCTCAAGACATCTCATCTGCGGCTCCGTTTTGGCCGTTACACTTTTCTGAAATTTCACCGCCGAAAAGTATATAAACCAAGTAAGCGGGTCTTGCACCTGAGGGAGAATCTAGCCCTTCTTGCTATCCCCGACACGTTTATCCATTTAATTTTTTGTGTGACTCAGTTGGACCTTGGTGCGACTTTTCTAAGTTCACAATTAACTACCTATGTGGTGATTGATTTCATCTCATGCACACACTTCCACCCCATGTTAATGTCCATGAATGTAATATAAATCATGCATAATGACATCAATGTGCAATTGTCTTTGGTACCATTTACAATGTCTATTATATAAAGAATATAATATAATGACATTTTCAACATGACAACATGTTTATCAATTCTATAAACATAAGTACAAGTCCACCACAATAATTATATGTTAAATGATAATTTAACATACATATTATTCCATAATCACATAACAAGCTAATAATTTTATTAAACTTGATATGTCATTTAAAACATAAAATAATGCTAATGTACAATTAACATGCTTTAAACCACTAACATTAACTTATATCAAGTTAATCATAATAGGGTTTTTTTTTCTAATCACAAAGTTAATTATAAATCTTATATTCAACCAATTAGTTACACTTGTCAAAACCTAACATATGATATACACCCATAGCCTACCCATTTCATATGTCATATTTTAAGTTAAAATAAAATCTAAATAGGGGAAACCCTACCTCTCGTAGCGTGAGCCTACGTACTGGAACTCCGAGAAAGTCCAATTTAACTTCCCAAACTTAGGCCTAGATTATCGTCTTTGATATTTTTTCAGAGAAAAATACGATATTTGGTGTGATTGCGTAGTTCTCGCTAAGTAGAGCAATTTTAATTCTTGACCTGAAGCGATTAAACGGGTCAATCTTCGTAAATCTGAGAATGAAGAAAAAAGAAAAAAATAAAACAATACTCACTTTTCTCTTTCCCATTCTCCGGGCGGCACACTGGAAGAAGAAAAGTTAACAATTAATTATATTAGAAAAGTTAGAAATTTATATTTTTGACCCATAATTTAATAATTAATTATTATTTTACTTCTTAAATTAAGATTTTTAATAATAATAATAATATTATTTTTTTTACGGGGTTTTACAATCTAACTCCTCAGACAATCGGGGCAACACAGCACTGCATGTGGCTGCATTCAGGGGACAATTAGCTGTGGTTGAAGCTCTAATCCTTGCAACCCCCGCATCCACCTATTCCAAAAACAACGCTGGAGAAACTTTTCTGCACATGGCTGTAACTGGTTTCCAAACTCCTGGTTTTCATAGACTGCTCTATGAAAAGTTACCTTTGAGTGATATCTTCTTTCTTTGTCCAATCATAACATGACTTCTGAAATGCTTTATTATTTACTTCACATTATTATTTCTACTATGAATAAGAACAAACAACACAACTCAATTTCAAGACATTAATTGCTAGTGCCATAGCCTTTACCCGAGGAGGAGGACATGTGAGGACCAGCTTTTACTTCACGGGCACTGAAATAAAGAGATTGTGGGGGAGGGTGGGCCGCATAGCATGCTTGAACCATAACAATGCATGCGATGTTAAAATCGCAGTACCCTTCTAGTTACCTTATTTTTTTGATTTGTATAGTCATAAATCCTATTTTATTCATTGAGATTTATTGACCTTGTATATCATTCCGTTGTAAATAAACGATCTTATCATAAATCTATTGTAGTCTTGAAATTATATAATAATAGAAACATCAACTCTAGCCACCATCTTTATATCTAATTTACTAATAAGTTTTGTTCAGTTGAAATGAAGGGATAATGGTTGGGATCCCTGAACGAGTCAACGTTTGGAACCTGTGTTCCTGAAAGGATGACATAGACTCAGTAGTTTGGGAGCAAGTGAAGGTGCCTCAAACCTGTCCTCCGACTGTGGCGTGGTGGGTGGTGGTGTAGAACATCTAGTCCAGTGTATAAAACAGTGTTAAAGGCATTGGTCTGACTGCGATACCATCCATGTGCACTTGAGACGAGGTGCCCAACGACTATTATACAAGACCATTTTCACAGCAATATGGTGCCTGACGACTACTATACAATACCAATTTCATTTTTCACAGCAAAATGTTTCTATTCTCCCCCAATCAAACATTTCAAAACTAACCCACAGTGAAAGACCTCAAGTGCTATAAAATTATCCCACCATCAATGAAATCAAGGCTACCAACAAAAAGTTAATCAACTTCAAGGCTACAGACAAATGCTAATCAACTGTCTGATTGAAATGGAAAAACAATCCAAAGTAGTCTACCAGTATTTATAGAGCTGAGAATAAGTGTTGAGCAATAACAGACCACAAAATACTTTCCAGCATCGATAACCACAAGCTTCGAAACATCAATAAAGATTTTACCAAGGGGAGAAAAATACTAGGAGCTACAGTTATTCCTAACGCACATGTACTTTCTCCTCAATCCCAAGGATCCTATGCCAACGAAACATCAAAGAATACAAATAAATTCCAGACTTCCTTTTAGTTTTTGGCCCTGACAGAGTTGTTCTCCTTGATCCTTGCTCGATTATCCAACTTGACAAAGCGTTTGAGGTCCTCATAAGGGAGAGTTTCTGTATTCTTCCTTCTTAATTCACTCAATGCTGGGCGTTTATCAAGCAGGTGCCACAGCCAATCTGGGTATTCAGAGTCTGCCAAGATTTTAGGGTCCGTTCCATCTTTGAGGATATTAGCACCAACAACTGTAGTGGACTTGACTTCTTTGCTGAGTGTAGATGCCTTCGGAGCATCAGTCGCCCCACCACCTTTAGATCCCTTCTTTGCTTTACCAGCAGAAAATGTTCTCCGGCCTATCACCCCAACTACCTGCTGAGGTGTGGCAATGCTTCTCAAGGATCTGATGTAGTTAATTGCCATCTCTTTATCCCTGCAACACCAATTATAATGATTGCAGAGTATTCATGCCCAGGAATATAAAAGCACTCATGCATGTTGGCTCCTGCAGACAATATCATCTCAACTTAATCCTAAGCAGAATGAAGTACAAAATCTGCTTGACTACAAATCTCTGAGTCAGTATTTTGAAGAATAGAAAAAGCTAAATATCTGCCTGCTGTACAAAATCCATCATACAAAAGTAAGGAAGTTCAAATCCTCACACTTTGATGTTTGTAAACCATGTCCTTTTAGCCATCTTTCTTGGTCTATTAACTGTCATGCTATGATTCGCAAATCTTCCATCCCATCGAAGCTTATCCATCATAAAAATTCATGCATGAGATTGGTCTAATCGAATAAAATTCGGGTTACACGTTTTCATACTCTCCAACGGGCATTTTATCAAACAGGTGACGTACAAAAACCAAATAATCCAACAATAAAAAAAAATGAAGAAAAAAATACTTCTTTACATGTGAACTCCATGAAATGAAATGACTCTTTTCTTCCACTTTTATGTTTGATCTTTGTTTGCTTGGGGTACTTCCCTTCCTCCTATTCAATCTGACATGAATAATCTCAAGTGTACTAGCAGGAGATGTGCCAGATCGAAAATTAAGACCAAAAATAAGAATCAGTTACTATTATTATGATGAAACCGCACCTGGGTCAGAATGAAATCTTGCCGTCGCGCTGCCTTTTACTCACAAGCAGTGCTTGGAAATGTTCGTCAAACAATAGCAACAGAAAAGGAGAGCGCAAGAGAAGGCAGTAACTTGTGGAAACCATTCAAAGAGGTACGAAATTGGGCCCATTTTGCGCTGGGCTAGATTTCCTTTAGAGTTTAAGGCCCACTTATTCTTTCTTTGGTCTATTAAATGCCATGCTAATCCATGAGATTGTTCACGTCGAAATTATGGAACAATTTCAATACAATTTTTTAATAATAGCTTAATTTCATCATTATTTTACATAAATATAAAGGAATAATTCAGATCAAATTATAATCAAATCGAATATTATTATGTTCAAATATAATGGATTCAAATTTAAATTTGGGTTACAGATAAAAATATCAATCCATGTATCTTGAATTTTTATTCAAATTCGAGGTAAATTCAAATAAAAACACTGTTTATTGACAGGCCAACATGAAACCGTGGCCATTCAGATGGCAGCTATGATTGTCAACTTGGGCCGATTCAGCTCTAGAACTATCTGTCACTTAAAATTATTATTGGGCCATCAGGCCCCATTCAATAAAATCTTTTGCCACAACTTTAATAGGCCCAGATGGAACTAATTAGCTTTAGGCTGAATAATCAGGCCCAGGATCAAGCCCGCCATCATTTAGGGGTTAGGGTTTTACACTGGACTGACTTGGAAAACACTCTAGTTTCTCCCTCTATACACTCCCCAAACCCAAAGAGGTCAAAATCCTCATCCCTCTGGCTAAACCCTCACCTTTCTCTCTCTTCAATTTGCTTCTGATACAATGGGTAGCAGCCAAGCGGCAGTCTCATTCCTCACCACCATCGCACGCGCCGCATTCGGCCTTGGCCTCGGCGCCACTGTTCTCAACTCCTCCCTCTACACCGTAGACGGTGGCCAACGCGCCGTCCTCTTCGACAGATTCCGTGGAGTAATCGACGACACCGTCGGCGAAGGGACCCACTTCCTGATCCCATGGCTCCAAAAGCCCTACATCTTCGACATTCGCACTCGTCCCCACACATTCTCCTCCATTTCAGGCACGAAGGATCTCCAAATGGTCAATCTCACCCTTCGTGTCCTCTCTCGTCCCGAGGAGTCTCGTCTTCCAGACATATTCAAAACCCTGGGGCTCGAATACGATGAGAAAGTCCTCCCTTCGATCGGCAACGAAGTCCTCAAAGCTGTGGTTGCTCAATTCAACGCCGATCAATTGCTCACTGAGCGTCCTCAGGTCTCAGCTTTGGTTCGCGAGAGTTTGGTTCGAAGAGCCAAAGACTTCAACATTATGCTTGATGATGTGGCGATTACGCATTTGTCGTACGGAGCGGAGTTCTCGAAGGCCGTGGAGCAGAAGCAGGTGGCGCAGCAGGAGGCGGAGCGGTCGAAGTTTATTGTGATGAAGGCAGAGCAGGAGCGGCGCGCGGCGATTATTAGGGCTGAAGGAGAAAGTGAGTCTGCGAAGCTGATTTCGGACGCGACTTCGTCCGCTGGAATGGGTTTGATTGAGCTTAGGAGGATTGAGGCTTCGAGGGAGATTGCTTCCACACTGGCCAAGACTCCCAATGTGGTATACCTGCCTAAGGACAACAACATGCTTCTGGGCCTTAATCCCATGGTCGGCCGTTGAGTTGGTAATTTTGGCGATACTATTGTTGTCTGCACTTGTTTTGATTTACAATTACCCGATTATTCTTCAGTCGAATTGTTGGTTGCCATTGGGGATTTATGGTTCTTGTTGCGTGTTAGTAAATTGAAACACAATGTCACTTTTGCTATTAATGCAGTATATTAGATGGTTTTATAGGGGCAATCTGTTTCAGGTAACCACTATAACAGGCCTCATTGTATCAGCTTCATTTCTATTCTTTGACGACATGCATTGGAAATGGGCCATTTTGTCACTGTGGTTGATGTCAATCTAGTTTTTATTTGCTTTGATTAACTGGTTTTGAGTAAGCTTATAATGAATGCTGGCAATTGTGGGCGCTATTGAGCTGCTCTATCATTCCTCTGTCTTTCTTCACCTACTTGGTAGACGGTGATTACTGCAGAGTAAGTTTTCTTCAACCTGCTATTTCCCATTTTTTTGTATTCTCATACTGTAGTCTGCTATTGTCAAGCCTGAATCTGTCTGTCTGTCTGTCTGTCTCGAATTTGTGGGATCAACATAGGCATAATAATCAACACATTACATTTTTTTTTTTTTGATCCAACAACACCTTACATTCAGGAAAAATATTTTTGTCGGTAAAAGACATTTTTTCCTGTTTTCGTTGGCCCGCGGAGATTTGGTTAGAATGTCAAGCCAATATAGCTTGTGGCTTTTATTATTTCATAGGTTGTACCAGAAGTTGAAGCCTTGGTTGAAGGAACTACAATTATTTCAAACTCAAACTTATGCTCCTTTTGATAGGAACGATGAAAAATAAGAAAGATATAATTTTTATCTTTTAAGGATGAAAAGTAGAAATGATACATTTTTTTTTTTTTGTATTTAGTTGAATTGATGAAAAATAAAAATGATTAATTTTTTTTTGTGCTGGCTAAGATTAGCAATGACAATCGAGTCGTGTTAGGTTAAATTTGTGTTGAGTCATAAAATTATAAGTATTTTATATTTGTTGTTCGTGTGTCAGGTCATTTTCAAATTCGTGTCGAGTTATTATCAAATTTGTGTCGAGTTCGAGTTGTGTCATCGTGTTGAGTCAAATTTTTACCCCTAATTAAGATGAAAAAAATATTTTTTTTTAATTTAAAAATCTTATTTTTATTTTAAAATTTTAAATATATATAGACAAATAAAATATATTTTAACATAAATAATTAATTTTTCATCTACTTTCAGTCGATTTTGGTGAGATTGATTTTAGCGAGTTGAAAAAAAAGTTAATTCATCTATTTTTTTATCCTTCCTATTTTTCTTTCTTATCAAACATGATATTTTATTTATACTTCTCACTTTTTATATTTTCATCTTTTCTTTCTTCTATTTATTCATTGTATCAGACGAAAATTAGGAAATTGAAATCGAAGAGCAAGTAGATTATGGCTCAAATGGATGTACGGTGTCGTGTGTAAACTGTGTTGAAGGATCATTTATGGCTTCATTGATACCTTTTCTTTCAGAACTGCTGCTTTGCATTCACTTTCCACAATAAAGTTCATGATTCCCACCGCTACGTTTGCTTGAAGTAGTGCATGATTACTTATGGGTTCTCGCTAATGCTTACTTTCAGTTGGGGGTATTATCATCTACTGGTCGTTTGCTTTTGCAACTTCTAAACCTATCTTCCCTCAATAATATAGAACTTTATTAAGAAGCTATAGAGCCTGTTGCAACAACCAGCGCCATTTACTTTTTTTTTTTTTTGGAAGGTTTATATGTGAGCCTATCTAGATACATGCAATTTATCACGATTTATCCTTCTTTTCTGGACACTCTATCTTAGTTATGATCTAATAAAAACCGCGATCTGAATGCATATTCC